AAACCCTTGTCTTGATTGATGTAAAGAATGGATGAAGAGGAAAAATCATTCTGAGACCTAGTTCAGACCTTTTACCTGCTAGACAGGTCAGCTTTGCCAAGAGGATGACCTGATTTCTTGGCTGCTGGCATACATGATGCCCATTTTTTCTAACTGGGCAAAGCAGTAGCACAAGCTGGGGAGCAGTCCTTTTTGTTTGATTCAACCACAATACACACAACAGCCAAGGGGCTTCTCGCAGGCCCCAGCAGTGAGGCCAGCCGGGAGTGCAGTTTTGTTATTGTAGCCGGAGGCCCACTTCCAATCCAATTACACACAACAGCTGTGCTAGTTCCTCTTGTCCATCCCTTCTGCTTCCTCTGCTATGTAATTCCGGGATAGGTTTTGTCATTATTGGGGGCAGTGAGTCAGGGTGAGTGGCACGTACTCTGAGTGATCAAAGGAATAAGAGCATGATGCAGAAGCCATACAAAAAGTCATTTACCTGAACATCTATGGGCAGAAATAGTGAAAAAAACATACTATCTCCTTTCCCCCACAGCAGAAACAGTATTCTGACATTGCACATAGCATATTCCTAAAAGTAGTCACATAGGGAGGGCGACAAACATGGTGGTGTTTGAAAGCATGAAAATAAACATGCAAGTGTTTGCAAAGATGGCCACACACACAAGAGAATGCGTGCAGGTAGCAAGACCTGAGGGTGAATGCATTTTATGGCTGACCCATAAGAAGATGAGCATCACTGCAAATCAGAGCACCTGAGCACATAGGTGCATAAGTTGGGAAAAGAAGAACTGTTAGGCATGGAATAGAATTCTTCAGCTTGGAAAAGACATCTGTGACAATATATGCGATAGAGGTAAAATCCCCAATAATAGAAAGCAGGTGAACAAAGAATATTTTTTTTCCCTATTTGTCAGAACACAAGGAGTAAGAGTCACTGAATTAAATTCTTAAGTAACAGGTGAAAAAAACAAGTCAAAGAAAGTACTTTCCACATCTGAATGATTAAACAATGGGACTTGTTATCACAAGATACTGTGAAGTTAAAAAATATAAGTGGATTAAGAAAAACAAAGACTGGACACATCCAGAGAAGATATGTCCATCCATGACTGTACAACACCATGATCTGGATGCAGTATCAGGTCAGGAAGTCCTTGGAACAGTGAATACCAGAAACCACAAAGGTATATCAGGACAAGACCGATGCTCACGTAGTTTCTTCAACTTCTTCCAAAGCATCTACTTCCATAAAAAAGAGGCTTCTGGGCTAGCAGAATTCTTGCTCTGACCCCAGTGACCATTACTGCCATATTGTTGAAAATGGGTGTGCATGGAGCTGAAAAACATTCAGGTCTCAATGCAAGAGGATCCAATTAGGGGACAGTGCCTGTGCAAAGAGCATGCAAGAACGAAAACAACTGTGGCACCTATGAAGAAGGACATAAGCCTAAACAAATTGCTTTCAAACACTTGTGTGAGCGGCACCGAAGAAATGGCATGGGTGGATTCTTACTCTGACCTTCTGTGAATAGAAAACTTCAGATGGGCTGAAACACAATTCACACATTTTCATGCCCAAAAGCAGAGTTCACTTTCAAGGGAGCAGAAGCCATCATACAGGGACTGCTTAAATGACCCTATGACATGGAGTTAGGGAGACATACTAAAACAGCAGCCTTGAGAGTAAGAGAGGAAAGAAGCATTAAAAGATGGAGTTTGAAAGACTAAAGACCTGGATCAGAAAAGTGCTTGTATGCTTGTGCCTTCAAGGATCTCTGTATCCTTATGAAGGAGTTGTTCAGGCAAACAAGGACTAATTTTTCCTCAGGGCCCCAACTAACTAGGTCATTTCTACTGGGTTGTGTCCATTCAGTTACATGCAAACTCTAGTCAGCAGTAAAATCATGACAGCAAAATGCCCAGAACTTCATCTCTTAGCCTCCTCCCCATGAATATCTGAAGATCTTTCCCACAAAAGGGATAAGCGTGACATGAATAGGAAAAGTAGTATTGAAACTTCAATACTCCCCAGGTATCAGTACCAGGCACCATAATATCAACGACCCATATTCAGTTCTTTCTCCTGCATGTATTCTTCCACTAAAAAAAAAAAACAACAACTAAGTGAGACAGAAGTATATCACATACTCCTTGATCTACTGGTCTTTTCCCAACAATTTGTCTTTCAGAAGCTAGACCACTGGCAGAGTAGAAGGTGGAAAGAAAGGGGCAAGTATTGTGCAGAGGTGACTGAGGCATCCATTCTGGTCTATGCTGCACACCACTCCCCAGCCAAGGCACTTAACCTCTGTAAAAAGGTTCTTAACCTCATTAATGTTCAGCCCAAGATCTCTAAGCATGTTGTGAAGGTGAGGTGAGGCTGTGGCTATAACCCCAAAAGGAAAACTGAAGTACTAAAAAGAGAAGTTATTTCTCCTCTACGTGACGCAGCGAGTCGGTGACCCAGCTGAGCACAGACAGCAACATTCCCAACTCCAGGGCCCTGTTCTAAATACTTGACTTTGGTGCTTACAACGTGGTGGTGTTATTTAGTGACTGGGGATATAGTATCTGCAGGGCAGCCGCAGTCCGGCCAACTTCTGACAAACTCCTTGAATTTGTGAAACAAGCCAGATGGGATCTTCAGGTGGCTCTTGAAAGGAGTGTAGGACACCAGCCCCTGTTGCCAGAGCACCTCTTCTTCAGAAGCAAAGACTTCACAGCCAGGGAAAGCTCATACTACGTACCTTCTCTTACTGGGGAATTAGTTCTAACCAGTCTATTCAACAATAAAAAATACTCAGTTAATCAATGGGTTCTTTACAGCCCTTCTGCCGCCTGTGGGTAAATGGTTACCATTAGCTTATAAAACCCCTAATTTGTCTTGCAAACAGTGGATGGTTAAAGTAACCATTTTGACAGGTGCCTGGGGCTCTGTCCTCACAATACAGATAGCTGGATGGCCAAATAGGAAGAGAGCCTCTGCACAGCCGGGCAGAGGTGAAGTGCACACCCAAACCCTCCTGGTGGTCCACATCGCTGCCCAGTCAGGCAGCAATGCCAGCAAATGCAGCTGAGCAGAGGGATTAGACTGCCTAGAATTAAACAGTTGCAGAGCCCAATAAAAAATTACCTAAGGTGTGGGTAATTGTCAGACTGAAAACGTACAGATGGGTGCAAGAGCACATGGAAAAGAGCATTCACGTGTGACTAGAAATCCACGTGAGAAAGCACGCAGCAGTCCTGAGAACAAGAACACAAGTGTATGAGCGATGAGGAGAATAAAAAATGTCCACCCAAGCATATACATTATGTGAAAAAGAGGGCAGTGGGGCAGAAGAGCCCATTCAGAGAGCAGAAGGATGGACTGCTCCCAGGGTGCCCACAGTAACAGCAGCATGGTCCTGTCCTGGTTGTGGCACCTCTGCTTGGATCCCTACTAGTGATGCTGTCATGATCTGTACGCTGTGCACACCTGGGAGATGGCCCCGATGTTGTTCGCAGCAAACTTGTTTATGGCATAATATCAGGAGTCGTACTGGTAGAGCATAGCAAGACCATGCCTTTCCAATTCAACCATCCTCCTCTGCCACAGACACCAAAAGCTTCAGGACGTGGTGGAGAGACTTGTGACCCCGAGCCCTTGGTGCATGCCCTGTCATATCCTGCCAAGATGAGAGGAGACAGGAGTTCCTGGACACCTCAGACTGGGGCAGAAAAGGTACATGTTCAGTCCTGTGGGTCACCGAAAAGATTCAATGTTACTGTTGACGAAGCCTTTCTTTCCAAGGCATGCCAGCCAACATTTGCCATTTGGCCACTTCCATCCCCATTGTTGCCAGCTGAGATGCGCACAGAATGCAAAGGACCTCAGCAGAACAAAAAGGGGGCTGACGAGAGAAGCCAAGAGGCTAAATATGCAGGGAAATTACCCGAGTGGCTGGCCCTCACTGCGTCTCTGAAGTGTTTCACAAAATCTGATTATCCAAGTGTAGAAAAGAAGCAAATTGAATGGAGAACTCATTCCAAGTCCAGGTTGGGTTTAGCAAAAGTTATGCAAAAAGCTGAGAAGGAAAAGAGCCTCAACTCTCCCATCATCCTGCTCCAGCCAAGGCAATGCCAGCTGCTTCCCTGGGCTCTTATTTCCATTTCACATAATGATAAACCAGGTGGATCTGCCTGAGCATGAGGTAAAAATTAGTTTCTTAAGCTTCAGTGGCAACAGGATGTGGACTGCAGCATAAGGTGATGTAGTTTGATTAACCCTTGTAGCCGAAGTTGGGGAACTCAGATCCTTTCAGCAATGAGAGAGCAATCTGGGGAGGGAAGTTGGAGTTCTCTGTGGTAAAACGCTTCCTTGTGGAAGAACTCTCCAAATGAACAAGGACACAAAACACACCTTTTTTTTTTTTTTTTTTTTCCTTTTAAATGAATTGTTTGTGCCCTGTTGGGAATTGAAGTTTTGATACCTAAATAAGACTACACATTCACATTTGGCCAGAATGATACTACTGATTTTTAAAATCTAAACTAAAACAACAAAAAAACCACCCTTTGTTAGTGGAAATGAAACTCAACACATTATCAGTGGGAATACCAAATGGAGTAGACTGCAGTAGGAGAAGGAAAATGACTGAACTAGATTTGTATGCCAGACTACACAGAGATGTATCAGAAATAAACTGTGTATAATGCAATGTTCAATGGCAGGTAATTAACAATACAAGCAACAATTTTTAACGTCATTTTCATTCAGAAAACATCCCTTTAACTGACCAACGCAATGTAATCTCTGAAGAGGGAAGTTTGTGACCTTTGCTACTATGAAGCCCTTCTTTAAGCAAAGACTTTGCAATCCAGACCCCGTGATGTCCAGGATGAAGATTTGCTCTGTATGGTCTCAGGAAGCAGGATCAGATTTCTGCTACTGGTAACTGCCCATCACCACTCCTTAAAGAGCAGCCTTTCAGCTCAGCAAAAGCAACACTTACCTGGAATATGATTGACATCTGTTGAGGTGTTTTCATGGCAAGCAGAAGGGAGAAAAGGAAAAGAGAGAGAGAGAAGAGAGAAAAGCCATTAGAGATGCACACAGCAACTTAGCATCCTTGCATGGAAATCAATTTCATGCAAAACCAGAAGTAATTAGGTTTGTTTGAAGGCCACCCATCTGCAGCCAAGCATCCAGCCATGCAAGGGAGGAGGCACTGGATCCCTCTCCGCTGTGCATGTAAAAGTGAATCCACCATCATATCTGTCCGGAGAGAGAGTTCCTGGAATCAGATAGAACCAAGCCACATCAGTTCCTGTAAGAATATTGGTTAAAATATTCTACTGTTTTTCACACACAAATGCAAAAGAAAGAAACAAAAAACAACCTGCCTACAGTAGGTTTCTATTGCACATAAATTCAAGCAAGTTTTCAGAAAAAAGAAAATAACCTGCTCCCCTTTTACGAGGGGCCATGTGAATTTATGACCAGGTGCAAGACATTCAACACAGTCCCAAAGTCTAGAAGAGAGTCCATCCCTTTTCATTCCTTCTGCCCATCATTCCCAAAACAACATCCTTCATTGCAGACAGCAGCAAGGGTGGGAGAGAAGGAGTGCCAGAGGCTTGCACATCCCACATGTTGTCTTTTCACAAGATGCTGAATTCGGACCAAATGGCATTCAGTATTTTTTCTCTTTGTGACATAAGAGCACTTTTCAGTATCAATCACAAAAATCCCAGAATAAAATAGTCCTTTAAAATTTGAGGAGCGAGACTACGTGATAGTATCGATCACAGAAAAGGCATATCTTTGAATGTAGAGTCTGTTTTGGGCAGAGTGCACCCACCCCAGAGAGCGTACTTTAAAAAAGTGCCTCTTACAACTTTTTTAGTATCCCAAGTTTAGTCTTTGTCTGAATAGCTACCCTTATCATAACACCATGAGGGAGGAACCCCTGAAATCTCATGGGATTAGACTAGATTAATGTTTTCCTTCCAAGGCAGCCCCAAAGAAAGAAAGAAAAAGAAAAAAAAAAAAAAGAACTTGCTTGAGGAAACAGTGGGGCCAGATCCATAGGTAGCATTCTTCCCTGGAGGCCTGTACCTTGCCCAGGAGTTGTGCTGCTGCAATTATCATCTTTCATACAAGACTTCAAAGCAATACATTAACGATTTGGACTAATACAGGTCTCAGACCGCTTCTGCCGCAAGTCTAGGAGCATGACATGCTGGGTGCTTTGGCTACACACCAAGGTCTAAGAATGTATTCTTCCCCAGATATCCCCTCCAATTTCTGTCAGTATTCCCCCTTCCTGTCCAATCCAGCTGTGTTGCCACGAAACCGGTGCCAGTTGTCTTCCCAAGACACTTGCATTTCAGTGGTGAGCGATTCCTGTGCACGTTGCTTTTTGTTTAACACTTTCTGCTGCTTTTTGTTTATCATTTTCTGTTGCTTGTTTGTTTATTGCTTTGTAATAGCTCCAAGATCATTTCAGGAAAAGTCCCTGTGGTACATCACACATATATCAAGCCATCCTTCCCTAAGGAGGTAATAACCCAAATAAAACAATGCACAAAGAAGGGAGGGACTGTTGCATCAACTCATTTAATTTCCTTAGCTTCTACTAAACATATACGTCAGATCTGATGAGTGTTATTTGTTGCCTTTCCTCTTTTAACACATAATTTTAACTAAGAATTGGTGTCTTGGCGTGCGAGCCTGGAAGAACACTGAAAGTTTGCCTGAAAGTAATTATTTTTAGGTAGGAAAAGAAAACAAGTGTCAGGCAGCAATGCACACACTGAAGATGGAAGGCAAAAGGAGGTGAGAGCAGGGGAAAAGAAAACAAGTGTCAGGCAGCAATGAAGCAGTCAAGCATTGAAGATGGAAGGCAAAAGGAGGTAAGCAGGGACAGAAGGAAGGAGCAGAGCCTTAAACACTACTGCAGAATGTGAGCACAATGCCAAAGAATTTACAAGCCCACTGCTAGGACTTGAGTTGAGGCATTGCTTGGGAAAATCAGCAGCAGTCAGATGATGATCACACATTTCAGAAGAGGAGGAAGGCAGCATCATAAGGTACTCCAAATTTTTCTGATAATCCAGCAGCTGCCCCAAAGCCTACTCTAAGCAGGTACAAAGCTCTAGATCCATGCTATCCTCTCAGCCCCCCTGCACACCTGACAAAGGAGCAGGCACAGCTGCAGCCCAGGCTACCTCAGGGGCCCAGGGACAGCAGGCAGCCTCACCAGGGTGTCTGTGCTACAGGAGGAACTCTGCGGGCTGTTTAGGGAATAAAAAAGATCAGCATATAGAAAGAGCAAAGGAAAAAGCTAACCAAGGGTGAGCAAGGGATAAACACATTAAGCAAATAAGAGGCAGTGGGCTGTAACTGATACACTGCTTGGGATAATACTTATTTAACTGTGCGTGAATTAAACAGGTCATGAAGCTGTTAAAAAAAGGAGAACAATGAAGTGTTAAGAGCTACTCAGGCATCTTTAAAATGTAGTTTCTCAATGGAAAGTAACAGTGGGCAGACAGCAAGGGGATTTCCATTTACCCTGGGTTTTTTTCCAATGTCCCTAAGGGCAGGTATCCCCAGTCCTGACTGGTTTTACTCTTAGCTTTCTTTTTGCTGTATCTTTTTCGGAAAGTCTCCACCCAACACAACTTCTGTATACACTAGTTGCACATACACTGTATACACAAAAAGTCACTGTTTGCACCTCTGCGACACTTTTGCAGTATCTACCTTTGTGGAAGCCCAGGTCATTAGTGTTACTTCCCATACTAAATACAAAGGGAGTTTCTTGTATTGCAGACATCCCCCATGTGGTATCTGCTGGCAAATGCTTTTTTTCAAAAGGTGAAAGTACTTGGTTTTTATTTTAAAACACACATGAGAAAGCACTGCTTTCTTTGTGAAGACAAAAATGACATATAGGCAGTCAGTCATCACAAAAAGACCCTACAATAAATACCACTGGGGTACACAGTTAAAACTGTGGTTGCATATATCAACAAAAGGGAACCTTAATAAGAAACCTCTGATGAAGTACCTTATGGCTTGTGGCTCTGCGATTAGAAGAAATCTAATGCCTCAAGAAAGCTAAAAGACAGAGACGGCAACCAGGCAGAATGACCAGGTTTGGGGAGCAGAGTTCACTCTCCTTCAGCCCGTCATCTGAGACATTCTCTCAAATTCTCCTCATGTTTTCCTGGCTTGTTTTTAAAAGGAACGTTTAAAACATGTCCCCACTTTCTTCCTCTTCCATCAGCGCTACCTTCCTCCCACCATAGGAACCTCCTACCTGCCACAGGTACAGCATTCCCCAGTTAAACAGGGAGTATGTAGAACCCATAGCTAACAAAAAGCCCAGTGACCCCAGGACTTCCTGTCATGCAGATGGAGGTTTCTCCACTTTCTCCAGCTCAGAGCACTTCAAACACAGAAAGGTCTGCCCCCTAACCAAAGAAAAGGCAGAGTTTGCTTTATCCTATACACAAGAGTCCATTTATTGCGCCTTTGTAAAGGGCTGAGCAGCAAGCCGGTGCTGTTTGCTTTTGTTCTTTGATGCTAATAGCTGGGTTGAAAGAGGGATCAGCAGGGCTGCTGCCTTTGTCTGGTGCAGACCCAGCCATCTGGGTGGGGTGGAAGGAGAAGGAGGAGGATGAAGGGGAGCGGGAGGAACAAAGCAAACATTATTATAGCTCAGATCATTCCCATACCTGTAGAGGAAACATCTGAAGTATTTTTAATTCTAACATTTTAAAGAAGTTTAGCAATACAGGAAGGTGTTATGAGAGTACGCTTCTGTCTCCATCTGGAAGACAAGGACATCACAGACTTTCTATGCACGCCAGCCCTACCAGTAAACATCACCTTGACCTGAAGAGACCTGCTTTCGTTCCCATCTCCATGGTCCATTCAGTCTTGTCTTCCCCTGTGAGGGAAGGCTGTGGACTTAGGCTGTGGACACTTGTCTTCTGCCAGCTAAACTGAGAGCCCCTGACTGAATTCACACATCACAAATCAGCCATCAGGTGGAAGCATCCTAGGTTAAGTGGAAATAAGCAGCTAGAAGAGAACAGCACTGTCTTGTACTACAAGCCCCTCAAGCTCTCCGGCATCCCCCTCCAGGGCTCTCTGGTTACCCTCTCTCTGAACACCAGTGTGTGGAGCAGACTGGGGAGCAGGCAAAAACTAGGGAGAAGAGGAGGGCAAAAGTTATAACACTTAAAGACATCTGTTTGTCATAGGAAACCCATTCCCGAATAAGAGGAGATCCTGCCTTTAGACAGGAAAATGACCTTATTCTGAAGCTCATTCAGTTACCAACACTTAAGGCTTTTCTAAAGCAGATTTGGCTCTCATCATGTTGCAAACACAGAAAATGGATAGAGGTAAAATTTCACCGGCAGGAGCATGACTGGTTGGGAACTCTCAGTCACTTACTTTGACACTGATATATATGAAACAGTTCAGAGATTGATGCGTTTATGGCAGCCTGGGAAATGATTCAAAAGATATGTGATGAGCCAGCCTGGACGCCTGTGGTGTGGTAGTAAGAGATGCTGGTGACTCAGAACCAGGTGATTTCCTCTTAACTGAGCTCTGATGCAACATTTTAATAGTAGGATGAAGAGCTGCGATTTGGCTGAGCTGGAAACCCCTCAAATTGCCATGAGCAAAGTCTTCATTAATTTGATACTTCATCAAACAAAGTCTAAATTCCAGATGCTGATTTGGCAAGTGGTCTCCTGGTCTGTCAAGGTAAAGGTAAACATATGGTCTTACTTTACCTCCTGCAGCAAGCTGTTGGGGACCAGTGTTGTCGGTGCGAAACTGTACAGACTCCTTGTCCTTCTCTTCAGGACACAGTGGTTCAAAGCCAGCTGGGAGGTTTACAGCTACATAAAAAGAAATACTATTTACAGTGTATAAATAGCCTTTAACAATAATTTGCTTGGGTTAAGATGGGCTCTGTAATGAGATCAATTCCAAGCGTTAGCA